TTGGGTACTGTAATTACCCTTTACAGCCAACTCAAGAATTTGATTAGTGTGATTAACCATTGCACTTCTCCAAAGTAAAAAAGCCTTCTTGTGCTGATTTTTGTTTGCTGCTTCTCTTGGTGCTGCACAATAACCAACTAAAGCTTTTTGAATCTACGTTACAACAATATCTTAAACTATACTTGTCTACACTTGTCTAAAGTACTTTATCACCCAGGATTATGTCTGGGGACTATGGCCAATCCCCATTTGCTTGTTAAATTATTATGAGTTTTAAAGATAGTGTGGAGATAATTTTAATGGACAGTTTTTTTTTTTGAAAGACAAAAAAGTTTGTGAGCCTTCACAAATGTGCACATTTTAATTGAGTTTCCCACGTTCATTTTTATTTTCTTTCCACCACAATTGGAATGTGTTTCACACACATTGCCTCTACACTCTCATTAGTTACTATGCAACCATCATGGAGCAGGAGTTTGGAGATAATTTGAGTTCTGACAAAGACTGCAGTGATCAATCCTGTATAATTTTGGAATAGTGTCACTGTATCAAGAGGGTGGCATAGAGACTTTAAGGGGTGGCAGAAATGCCAATTTAATTGGAAACAATGACATATATCAATATTGGCTTGGAATGTATAGAATATAAATATCTAAAAGTGACATTGGAATTTATTTTGTATTTTTTCCAAATACATGTATTTTGCAACTGAATTTAAAAGTATAGTGTATAGGATTAAGTGGTATCTAGTGGTGTAATTGTAGATTACGACTCCCTCAATTCACCCTCCCCTTCCAAGCACCAAGGAGAACCTACGGTGGCTGCAAAATGTGCCAAAAATGGTTCAACATAGCCGACTCCATAGAAGGCAACGCGCAACATCTGCAGATAAAAATGGTTCATTCTAAGCTAACAAAAACATATATATATATATATATATATATATACACTTTAAACTTTGAATATTACATTCCATTTCTGCCAATAGATCCTCCTAAATGTTACACACTGGACCTGAGCCTGTCAATTAGTTTAAAATGTGGCCATAACAGATTTAGAATCATTTCATTTTTTTAACACGTTATCTTTAAAATTAATCTAAATGAAAGTGTTAAATTTGACAGCATTTGAAACTCAACTGAAGAGGCAGCTAGGGTGTCCAGGCATTTTGTATTACCCAAGGCCACCTCTCTAGAACTGCCCCTACCATTACCATTATATACTGGACGTTAAATGCTTCAATCTATGCCATTAAAATCTATTTCAATTATATTGACTTATTATTTTAGCTGATGTTGACTGCTCATCAATTTACAGTTCTGCTCGCATCAGCAACAGAATATTGAAGGCGGCTGTGAAATGATTTAGACGCAACTACAGATGCAGACTTAATATCATTTTAAAACTCTCAGGTCTGGATGAGATATTACGCAATACCACATAAGTGCTTCCACAATATTTATTTCCTTTTATTATCATATGGCAAGCAATAATCTCTTTGCCTTTCAGCCAACATCCATTATAATGTATCACATTTGTATAATATATAGTATAGGCCTAGTTTCCAGTGCAGTCTTGATGCATTTATAGCAGACTTCCCATCAGGTATATTCTGCTGAGAGGTGAAATAACTGGGTACTAAAGTGGGGGGCTCTGAATTTCACAGTCCCTCTCCAACAATCAATAAGCTCCTCTTGACCTTTATGTGCATCAATAATGGTATTTCTGCCTTTTGGAGGAGGATAAGAACTTTAGTTCATCTTCAGATAGGAGTATTTCTTCCCCTGTGAAAACTGTTGGCTCAGGATTCAAGTGCTCAGAAGCTCAACCATAAGCAAACATTGAGACCTAAATGGCAGCGGAGAAAGTGCACAAAAGAGAATTGCTGGGAGAAGTGAAGAGGAAAGAATCAACAAATGCCTCAACTGTACGTATTTTCCATTCTTTCTTTTGACCGGTGCATGAATTAAGGCTTGCGAAGCAACTTGCCTTGGGTTGAATGTCTAACATGACATTGGTATTCAGTGTGTGTCCCTCTCTATGTGTCCACCTCTGAGTCATGCAGAATGAACCCTCAGCAGCACTAGGTACATGACCTTCCCTCCAACACCAGCACTGCTTCTGGCTCTCCACATGGTAACTTGTTAATGTCAGCTCTCGCTTCCCATCTTTCCCCATCTCTCTCTATGTCACATACACCGAGTTGAAAATTTTGACCCCTAGGTCTTACACAATCATATCCTATCCTTTTTCACCCTAGAAGGCTTGGGACTTTGGCTCTGACACGCAGGAACAAGTGACCTTTCATGGGTATGTAATGAACACCAGCCACAGCCTCCTCATTCCATGTTTGGCTCCGGGCCAAAGTGACATGTAGAACATCAAAACAGTCATTAGTTGCTACCTTTTTTTTAGAGGATTGTCTTTAACTAAGAAAAAGCAGCATGAGGTTTTGGGTTAATGCCCTCCAACATGCTTGAATCCAGATTCCGCATTTGGACATCACAACTGCTTACGTGACCAATACTGGAGAGGACTTAATGTCCTCTGGGCCACTCACGCTTGAAGGCTTGCATACTTAGTTTGGTGACTCATATAAAGTGAGGTACAGGCCTATGTTGTTTTCAAATGGGTTTCTGCTCTGTGACATCAGTAACAAAGTGCTAAAACAGATGCTTTAAGACAAACCTCTTTGCAGTTCCTTATTTTAATGGCCCCTTTGGAAAAATCTAATAAATACACTATGTTATCACCTGTTCACGTCTCTGCTTTTAAAGTGAGGCCTTCAACAGAAATCTGTGGTTGGTGATAGAAGAACATATTGTTAATACACACCAAAGCACGGGTGTCCCCGTCTGCTATAATGGCTAATGGGACACTGTTGGATACATCCCTCAGTGACATCTCTCCATTATCCTCAACCCTGTTCCTTATCTGTTCTCTAAAGAAAGTACACAGGGTGGTTCTATCCCCGCACCAAAATAAGTGGCAGACAGAGAGCCAGATGGGGAGAGGAAATGGAAGAAAGGAAAGTGCTTCTACACCAGCTGCTATCCTGAAAAGTGGTTACATTTATAGGAAGGGGAGCAGATCAAAGATGCCGAAACCATTACGCACACATGTGGCCTCTTCTTTTCATGAGACTCCAATGGGTCAGGTGGTAATGACTCCCCTTTCACATTAGAGGGTGTTTAGTGGTCCAAACATGACAAAGGAACAGGATGATCAAAGAAGCTATGCGGCACTGGCTTTATATGTTTGGATGGAGAGTGGGATTTTTTTTTTTTTGGCCGTGTGTGGGTTTGCATGGATAAAAACCCATGTCTGAGCAGGAGTAATGAAGCTGGTATATTTTTTTTTTCTGAAAGTTGTAGCCCAGAGGAGACAAATAAAGCACAACAAACTTTGGAGTGATCCTGTTGGCTCAATTATAGGATGTATTACAGGAAGTATTACTGTATATCATAGATTTGCAACACCACGGCTAAAAGTCTTGCTTGTGTCATCTTTCCTCATTCTCACTCTCTCAACATTTATTTGTATCCTAACACAATTTTGTGGTCATTTAACGTTTTTTAAAAATCACTACCTTCCTTTTTGCTGAGAAATCCTATGTATAAATTAGATGAAATAGCTCTCATGCCTTGGATGATTAGTAGATATAAATAACATTTTACATAATACTTTAGTATCTGATTCCTGGAAATACATCCCAGGTCCACAATTACAATATACAAACTGTACTTGAAAGCACTCTTTCACACACAGACACACACACACACACATGCAAATACACAACGTAAGTCAGCTTTCATGCTCTTGCATCGGTTACACAGAGAAAATGTGCCTTTAATTAAGAATCCAAGGCCACTGTGGAGGGCTGTGTAAACCCGCATTGTGTATTTGTGTACTTGTGTGTGTACATGGTTGTGTCTATGCCTGTGCAGGTTTTCTGTGTAAATACATGCAAATAGACATCTGCATCATCTGTTTTCTCATCACACATAGTCTACAGGAGCACAATGATAACAACATGAGAAACAGCCTTTGGGTGTTGCTGCCAAAAATATTCCTGTATGTAATCATTCCATGACATTACAACATGACTCACATCACAGCCAGTAACACCAAAACAACTGCAACAGCAGGACACATCTGTACAAAGAAGATGAAAACTTGCTAACTCCAACAGTAAAGGTCAACCACAGAAAGTGGACAATGTTACAAAAGATTTTTTTTTAAACAGATCACAATGGACAAAATCTCATGCATATTACCATAAATATCCATTTTTGCTCACCTTGTCAACTGCATGATAAGTGTCAAGCTTGACCTTGCATGATGATAAAATGCATCCTTGAGTTTCTCTGTATACTGAGGTGCAGTTCTAACATCTCATCACTAGGAGGTGCACTTGTATGAAGCAAAACTTAATCTCCACTTCTCATAACCACAGCTCACAAGTTCTACTGTCATGTTTCCCAGTGCTAAAGCAACTTATAAACCAGCTATAACTGACAATCTAAATCAATTCCCATAAAGCAACATATATGTCGGCGTTGAGACTTGTGCTTATGCTCTAACTTTCCCATAATGCATGAAGAGGTGATTGGATTGAACTTTTAATAACCCCCCAAATCATTGATTTTGTGAACTTAGTCATGCTTGACTGTGTACCTGCTGAGCAAATTAAGCAGTCGTCCAGCTTATGAGACCGAAAACAAAGCGTCCTATCTATGTCAATCAATTTCAAAACCCAGGAGACTTTGAATTCATGCGATCCACCCTCAAACAAAACGATCATTGCCTTTGAGCTCTCAGACCCACAAGTCGATGCAAGTGATCGGGGAAAAGACACATTTGCGCAATGACGTGCAATAAGAGGGGTTTCCCCAGTGGTTTGGGAGGGTATTTCCCATGGTAGGTTTTATGCAAAGCGGGGATCATTAGTCCAGAATGATCGCCCATTGTTAAAGGTGAGGTGATAATGGCCTACTTACCATATTGACTTCTGATACCATGTCTATGCTGGCTATGTCTATATTCATCCCCACTCCAACCGGAGGACCTGCAGATCAAAACAACGGCAAGCAACAGAGATACTGTACATCAGGTGCAGCCTCTATGATTCATTGACACATAAGAAACACAGAAAAACAGTTGTGAATTTGTAGCTGTTGTCAGCCAGATAATAGTTTACAGTGTTCATTTCGGGTGGGATTAGACGCGCTGAGCTGCGGTGAAAGTGCAGGCAATTCCCCTAAAAGTTGTTGACATTAAATCATCTAGCTTCAAACATATTCCAGTCACAGTGAACACCTGAATTGGACCGTGGACGTGAACAAGAATGGACACTATTTTGTATAAAATTCCAACAGACGTATACTGTGAGTTGACAGCCACGAGTCATTTTTCATTCAAATAAATGAGCTGGTGTGTTTTATCGTGCACGTTTATCCTTCAGTCACATCACTCATGTGTTCTCCCATTATGTCGGCACTCTGGGTTGTTTTGACACATTTCCCCTCGACTGTATCGTATAAAATATCTCCGACTCTGGCACTTGCTGGAGCCGATAAGAAATGTCTCCTTTACTTTGCGAAATTTGCAAATCGAATTGAGTTACCGGTGATTGTAGTAGTCGTTTAAACACTGTACGATTACACAGGCTGACAAGGCGCAAACTCGAACAGAGTTGGTGATAATAACGAGTTCATTTACCTCCGAAATCTGGCCTCAATCGTATATCATAACCTTTCAACAGTCTATCCACGGTTTCTTTAACCAAAGACATATTGCTAGGGTCATTGACAGTGGCACTATGGAAGAAAAAAAGAGAGAAAGGGTGCACAACATATTGTAAATACGAGACATTCTTGAGCCTGAAAGTGTCCAAGTATTTTCCATGCCGTCTGTAACACAGTCACACTTAGTAAAAATGAGTGGAGCATCCTCCGACCCTTTCTCTTACCTTTGGGCGCACACCACGGCCACTACGAGGGGAAACAACCAGACGCAAAAACACATTATTCTTCTTATTCTGAACACTGCCATACTTATGTTATGTGTTTTTTTCTCTTTTGGTGAAGACAGACGAGGTCCAACTTATTCTTCCCAGTGCAGTAATTCCAATGCCGGGCGCATGCGTATTCCCGACCACAACATCAAGAAGCAGCGGTGCTGCTGATGGTAGTGGCAAATGTAGTACCCAGCCACAGAGAAAATTTAAAGGAGAACCAAGACTACAAGTTACTCAAGGGCTCACACGGGGGTCTCCCTGGTTTCTTTACACCCAATGTGGCTGTTTTAGAAGCGGTGACTCTGACGGGAAAGTTGGCGGTTCGATTCCACGGGGGCGAGGTGGAAAATGTGGGTGTGGTTGTCTCTCTCCGTTCGCTCTTTAGACACCCGTCAGCCAACTCATCTAACTGTCCCTGAGCGAGGCACTTAACCCCGCTGCTCCAGCATGGCTGTTCGGGGGCTCCCAGAGGAAGTCTGGACTGGACAGCTCCTAGTGGATCTAAGCAGAGCTAGAGCTAGAGAGAGCTCTCAGCTTTCTGAATCAGTAGGTTTTTAAGTTGACCAACTCAAACTTTCATAAAGTTCAACGCATATTAGACATTAATGGGACCAATACAGCTCGTATTATCTATGTCTAGGCTTTACGTTGTGTTGTAGCTTCATTTATTATGTGTTTATTGTAAAATAATGATATTGATCAGTGACATAAGCGCCTCCGTGCATGGGTGTGAACTTGCACGTTAGGGAGATACCGAAAAAGACAGATGACACTGTTCTTTTGGTGAGTACTGCCTGGCGGGTCCCAGGGGACAGCTGAGGGAACAGAACAGATTCACCGTTTGCTCACTCCTTCAAAAAAGAAAAAGAAAAAGAAAAGAAAGAATAAACCCTCACTATTAGTTGGTGACTCTGTCCATGGTGCTGAAACTGATGAATCCAGTCCCTCCCTCCCTCTCTCTCTGACTGTCCACTGTGTTGAATGTACTCCCCTCTCTCACTATCGCTTCTCTCCACACAAAAGGGGGGTTCCGTGCTATAAATGCATCCCTGCACCAACAGTTGCTCAGGCATCGATCTCCAACGCATTCGGGCCTCTGACGAAAACGAGAAGCGTGGCATAATACACTGAGAGGCGCGCGGTGCCCGTGCTGTGCCTCGGGGTTGGAAGCGGGATGCATGGAGCAGGGCAGTATGCACTGAAGCCTACACTCAGCACATCTCTCGCAGCCATGCACGCTTGTGGCTCCACGCACTGGTAAGCAGGACGTGCGCCACTGTGTAAACTCGGACACGAATCGCCATGGATAAGGTGGGATCAGAGGCGGATGCTATAGAGCAGTGAGCCCTGTGTAGGAGTCCTACAGCGGCTCTCCTGCCTGAGAGAGGAGGGGAGCAGAAGTGATCCAGCCAGGAAGATGCTAAATGTGCTGTACTAAGAGCACAAGTAGAACAAATGATGACTGTCTGATGAGATTTTATTGATTTGTTCGCACTAGATATTGTAATCAATTTTACCATTTAAAAAATGACATAAAATCCTGAACCCTATTTCACCTGATGGGGGCGCTGTAAAAGTCAAATTAAACGTTGTTTGAATTGGGTAATAATCAATGTTTTATTTCCAGCCCCATTGCACAAATTGCTATCTACAGGGGGTTGATATAAAATTGTTGAGAGACAAAGATTAGTTTGGCAGCTGCATTTTTGGTTTATAATTCACTTCATAAACCCCCACACATGTCAAATATCCAATTAAAATGTATGTAAAATATATTTACACTGTCTTGTATCGTATTACCCAAAATTTGTGTTGCGTTGTCAGAGAGGTAACGTCAAAATCTGGGGCAATGCATTTATGGATTAAAAACTGGTCATGATACGTTTCTTCAGTTTGCAAAGAAATGCACCGATTTAACACAAGAAAGGCCAAAAAAGTTTGTGCTCTTTGTTAATGCAGTTTGTATCTGATACATAGAATGTTTGGTTTCCCCGTCTGTTTTCCTTGACATATTAGGTCATTTTACAGTTTTGAATCGATGCACCTGCACAGATTATTTGGCCCTGGCAAAGCTTTGAAGACTCACATATCAAAGTGTTCAATGTCAGACCTCCTTTGTAGCTGATAATTGGCAATAAACCTATTATGCCCCACCTCTATAGCTGTGTTGTGATAGTGATTGAATTACTTGACTCGTTTTTTGTTTTGATAGTTTACAGGGTACTTTGTGTTCCGTAAATAAGGTATATTTTTCCAGTTAGGAACTGTAGATTAGTTCTGTCAATTGTGTTGCTGTTCCTCCTGTCAACTTGTAGAGATTGATTCATTTATTTGGCATTTGTTAATCAATTTGAAACCCTTATATTTGAAGTTTGACCTCCCTCTGAACTCAGAAATAATCTGTCTCTTTATTACGCTGCCATGGTGGTCCCTAGTTGCCTGCTGGCAAGAACTGCGAGAACTCTGGTGTGTTCCTGAGGTAGTCCCTGTGTGTGCTCCAGGGCATGCAGTAGGAGCACCATGGATAGCACTCATGACATTTGGTACATCTTTTCCTACTGGGCCTGCCACCATGTTTTATATCAATTATGTAATCAAGCAAAAAAAAGTTGAAAAAAAAAGTTGTTTTTCATGCATGAAAAGATTTTATTGACTGTCACGTGAGGCAAGTCAATCTATCTAAGTAATGTACAACGTTGGTAATGTTTCACATGAAGGACATGATCACTAGCAATCGAGGGTTTACATATTTTGACCTCTTTTAGCATACATTTCATATCTCACTAATATTCATCAGAGGGCGAACAGATGGTGGAACCATAGAGCGTTTCGCCAATCACAATATTGTGAGTATAAAATAAAGGACTAAGTTGTACTGTAACCCTTCAATGTCAGTAGGATGTTCAAATCCCTTTGAAGGTGACATTGAGGCATGCAAACAAATATTTTGACCTGCTCTGCTGTTCTTAATGCCCGATTTACTGAATTGTTTAACATTCCCAAAAGGCCTCTAGCTCTTCTTTCTCTATCTGTGTCTTTCTGCATCATATAATGACTGCTTTTCTGAGCCCCTCACTAAAACATCATGCTTTTTTGCCAGTGCAATATTCAGGTTGTCCTGTGCTGATGAATAAAAAAGGATGTCCCCAATGTCTGAAAAAAGACATTTGTGTTGTTTCATGTCAGTAAACAGGGGTTTGTTTGCTGGAATCTTGGCAAGATGATGGAAAATGTGCATGTATAGGGAAGAGGCTTGTGATTTCTCTTTTGCTGTTTGTGTGTGTGTGTGTGAGCGAGAGAAAGAAAATGTAACATCAACTCTGTGCATTCTTGTAGTTGTTTGCATCTGGTTGCCATGGAGTTTCACAGCTGTTTCTACCAGATC